CATGGAAGTTGGATAGAAAATGGATCAGAACCGTAGGCTGGCCAGCTGTCGACTGGATACAAGTAAGTTCATACGGGCGATGTAACCGCCAACATGTCTGTCATGTGGTATGAAATCCGAAAACGAACCACTGAACGCAAGTAATCATGGGATGCACGGTGGCATGGCAGATGCACTCGGAAACACGTAGTAGCAACGACGATCTGATTTGGATTACAGGAAAAGGCGAAGTGGTCACGATAAACAGCGATGTAGTCGGAACGAGAATACACCCAATTGAGAAAGCTCTAGGACCTGTGGTAGACCAGAGTCGACGTACGATGAAGTTAATCGAATATACTCCAAAGTAAACCTTAATCATGTCAGGAATAGAAAACGCAGCACCAAGCCAAAGAGCGCAAGTGAGCACTGAAACGTCATGAGTGCGTTTGGGTAACCGAGACCAACTGCGTAAAATAATGTTCGGACGGCGATATATTGCAGTGAACACCTGTACACTGATGAATGACCGGCAACGATATAGCCGAGGAAGGCATGACCAAGAAGCAGCACAGAAATCGAAAGCCGTAAGCAAGTATTATGAGTTAGGTAAGAACGCATAACCATATCAAGTAGTTTGTAAGGTGTGGTGCAAACTCGAGAAAACTTAACTGGCAAGCAAAAACTTTGAAGCCGACGACTATGAAAGGAGACGAAATAATGTGGGTGGGATAGTAAGATTTAGTTGCTTAATTTCCTTAGGAATTAATTTTTAAACTGCGAGTAGATTAGAATATTCAGGGTCTACAGATACATACCTAAATGCGATGCAATTATTTAGGTCGAAGTTCATCATCCGCTGCGCGACAACTATGTAATGTTAACAAACTACCTATCGGCGGACAGTATTATAACCTATGTAATTATCGACCCTACTGGCCGCAAAGATACTAGTAAAAAACTCAGATACATGTCTAGCCGATAGTTTTCCACTGCTTGGCACAGCTGCGAAGGGTTCGGCTCCTAAGTGGGTCC